TTACTCGAAATGGAAGTAATCCCAACAATTATGAAACAAGAGATTCCTCAAAAGCCAACTTTTCTTCGAATTTCACATAGCCTTGCTTTCCCAAAAGTTGTTCTCATCCAGGCTGAAGTGGACTGCAGTTTTGACCTCGTCTAGGTCTTATCAACACCCCCAGTGAAAGTCGAACCGTGACAGTGCAGCGTGTGAGCTTGATACATTAACCACCCAATCACATTGCCACATATATTCTTGGGTCATAAGGCAGATGTGAAGTTCACCTTCTTAATTACTTTATATTTCGTCAAAGAGCTTAGATATGAGGTTTATATGCAGCATTTAGGAATGAATATGTTTGTACGGATAATATCCTTTATACGACAGACGAAACTTGACACATTTTCTCCGCAGTCTGAAAAGTTTGCCTCGGCAACAACGTCAACAAGAGTGTTCCAGTGAGGCCAATCGGCACGTGGTGGAGTCAACAATTAGAAATCAAAAGATGCCTTTTGAACTAATTTTTCTTTGCAGAGTAGACATAGCCTGCCTTGAGTTTTGTCATTTTTCAGCGTCGCTCTCTTCTGCAACCCTAAACGATATTTCCTCCAGCCCAACTGCGTTGATCATCCGTGCAGGCACTGTAGAGCTGTGATGTAGCTGTACTTGTTTGTCACAGTCGAAAGATACCTTTTTCCCTTTTAAGTACGCCTGGCCCTATAACTGGGGCCATCTTGCCAGCATCTTCTTTTGCTTTCCACCGATTAGGCCTGGTATCTTTGATGTATCCAGAGGATGGCAGGAAATGTGTCGCTTCTGTATGCAGCCAATAGCCCACTGACGGGGCGGAGTCGGGAGGCTCGCGGTTTCATTTGATCCCTTATCTTCGTCTGTCTTCGCTCAGCCGCTCATTCTTTGTTTCTATCCCCAGGCCGCTGTTTATAGGCCCACATGCCAGACTCCGTTAAAGCATTTTGATGTAAAAATGTGCACAAGTCACCTAAACAGGCTTGTGTAAACACATTTTTTCCAACATGTGTCCACGTGAATACCGCTTCTCGAAAGGACATGGGCAACGACAGGTGTGTTTTGTTCTGTTTGTTTGGGTCCGACCAACCCCAGCTTCTATTTCGCCTCAACCTCGCCAACTTTGCCATCTTTGCGGACTACGTTTTCCCTTTTGATAAACTAGCATGAAGCAAACGGCCCAATGGAAGCTCTACACGTTTAGCAGAATTGTCACAGTGCCCACTCAATAATTGAGGAGGCTGAGAAAAGAGTTCAAGACACACTGAGTTGGCGATGCGCTTTTTTTGAGTGCCAAGCCTTGGCTTGTCTTCAGTCGGATAGCTACAGCTTCATCTACGCAGAGGCATGAGACTGTCTGCACCAGCTGGCTATGTCGATTGTTTGCGAAGCCTGACTCCGGCGGATGACAAGCACTTCGATGTAGCCTTGATCGCAGATGCATGTGACTTAGTAGGTGACTTTGACGCTGCTCAGAGTTGCCAAATAGTCTGGCCAACTCCCGAAATCACGGGGTTTCGCGGTGATGCCACAAGTACAACGTCTTCATCTTAACCAAATAGGATGAATACATTTCATATATATGATCTACTGGCAGTCCCAAAAGCCTACTTATAAAAGTGAAAAATAAATAATCTAAGATATAAAGACCAATATGATGTTTGCAGTCTCCTCTTGGTGTATGGAAGTGATGCGGCCTTGTTTTCGCAATTTGGTCATGTCACGGCGACTTAGTTGGACGTACTCTGTTATAGTTATCATATTTCCATACGCTTCACGGTGGACTTGGTACATTCTCAGACGTTTCTCTGGCATCTTCAGTGAGTCTTGGGAATTATGATACCTACTATCGCAGAGAGGATGAAGGCGAGACTATAGAGTATGAAATGGATAGAGGGAACAGGACAAAACGAATAGTGATAGCATAACCGTTTCAACAGAAAGTTGGTTAAGGGATTGACTTAACTTGTCTCCTTGACAAGTTGTGGCTTGGTTTGCTAAGAACGCCAAGACTCACTGACGATGTCGGCGAAATATCTGGGAAATATATCAAGTCCATGATCCGACTGGAAATTATCATGCATCCTATGGATTCTTCTTGTCAATATAACCAACTTCCGAAAACAAGGTCAAACAACTTGTTACTTAATAGAGTTAACACAAAGTTAGCCT